GGGGGTGGGGAGATGGGGGTAGGGAGGTGGGTTCTTACTCCTCGCTCCGCAGCTCGCGGTGCAGCCGCTCGCGGTCCCTGAAGCAGCCCAGCGATGCCATGCTCTCCAGGACATCGGGGTCCAGTTCTCCGTTGGATGGGAGACTTCGCATGGCTACCCGGCGGCCCGGGGCTGGCTCTAAGCAGGGATCCGGCTCATGCTTCCCGCCCCTGGGGAAGGGAAAACACATTCAAGTGGGCAGAGGGTATCAGATGTATGGGTCCTGTGCTTCATTCTGGACTCTGGCATCAAGGAATCTAGCCCTCTTCCCTTTTAGATCCAGGTGCCCTGTCCCCAGCCCCCACCCTCATACTCAGATTGGCCCCTTAGTCCCCTGGATCCAGGCATTCTCATCCCTGTCTTCCTTAGATCCGAGAGTCTGGGTTCCCAGCTACTCCTCCAGCTATGTGACCTTCTTCCCAGGACCCATCCTTGGAAGCCAACAGGAACCCCAGCATCCCACCCTCTTATGCTTTGGGGCCCTTTATATTTGGAACCCTGTCCCTTTCTCCCCAGAGACCTAAGTGTCCAGTTTCCCCATACTCACAGGTACCAAGGATGTTTCTGAATTTGCTCCAGCTGTGAAGAGGGGGCGGTGGAGAAGCACAGGTCAGGTCCTATGCACACAATCGGTGCACAGTGCAAGCTAACACAACACCTAGGTGGCTCAAAGTTCAGTCAAAACAATATTCAGGCTTATAAAGGGGACCAATATAGCACCAGGGGAGTAACCTCACACAAGCTCTAAAGAACGGCAAGTGCTCAGGAATAAAGGCCAGAAAGAGAGAGGGGAAGGGTCTAGCTAGAAGGATGCGTGGAATTGAGAATGACAGAGGAAAAGTTGGAAGGATGCTGTTAAACAGTGAAGACCATCCACAAGATAAAAGCTGTACGAATGATCACACAGAAAACCGGGTGCTCTATAAACTTTTCACTCAAAGCACAAAACCAAACAAGTTAAATAAGGTGGGGAGGACCCTAAATAGATTTAAGGCAGCGTATGTCTTCTCACAGGACAGTGTAGGTTGTTTCTCTGAGCATGCGCACTCCTGTGTGCAAGGGTTTTCCCGCATGCGCAGTGCTGTTCCACCGCCTTCGCACAGCTGCTAGAGGACAGACCTGCGCATGCGCTTTCTCTGGGCTTCCAAGGGTCTGTATCTCTGCCGCCTCCTCCCAGTTTAGGGTGGCTGGGTTTTTTGGTTTTTTGTTTGTTTTTCAGGGTGGCAGCTCTTTGTGCACTTTGGGTTGCAACTCTCTTCGCTTGCCCCTCACCCCAAAAAACGTGGAAAACATGACGACGGTACTCCAAAAGGTTCTACCTTCATGCACCACTGTCCCCTAATCCCGCCTCCGGGTCACCCCGACTCACACTGAGCCTCTTCTCTGGCTCCACCTCGATCATGCCTCTCAGGAGGCTCTGGCAGTCTGGAGGGATGAAGTGGGGCATGTGAAAGACGCCCCGTTTCACCTTCTCCAGCAGCTGGCGGAGGTTGTCGTCATCAAAAGGCAGAGCACCCTGGTGGGGAAGAAGAACGACCCCTTACACAGAGCTCACGAGCTGGGACTCCACACCACAATATCAGTGGTTCAAACCCAACCGGCGAACACTCTGAAGAAAAGACCTGGTGGTCTGCTCCAGCAAAGACTCAGTGTGGCAGCGGAAAGGTGCAATCGAGTGGATTCTGGCTCCGAGCGAGCCAGTGTATACACCAGTACAAACACCGACCCACCCCTGCACTGTCTCACACAGCAATAAAGAATCCACGTAAAACGATCGTTTTTATCAGTCTGTTCTTTCAGCCATTGCTTCAGTCCATTTCATTCCAACAACCCAGAAAACCCAATGGGGCAGCTCTGCTCTGTCAACCTGGGTTTAAGTCACCAACCACCCGGAGGCACTTAACAAGGAAATCCACAGCACTGCCAAGACAAGGGAGCTCTGGTGGCCTAATGGGAGGGATTTCTACTGCCAATCTAAAGGCAGGAGGTTCGAGTCCACCAGCTGCTCCATGGGAGAAAGATGAGAACTCTCCTGGGTGCAGTAAACAGCCTCTGAAAACCCACCGGGGTGGTCAGCTATGAGTTGATTTCAACATGATGGCATATAACAACAGTGCAGGATAATATAAAAAGGAAGACTGAATAAGAATGACAGCGATGGCAGAGTATTGGCTATTCCATGGGCTACCAAAAGAACAAGTCTATGCTGGAGGAAGTATAACGAGGGTGATTCCCTAGAGGCAAGGATGGTGAAGCTTTGCAGATCAGAAAGGGCCAGTTCTTGGCAAAAGTCATGCTAGGGAAACTAGAGGGTTAGAGAAAGAAAGGACGACCCTCAATGAAAAAGGCTGACATTGACCATGGTGGAGATTCTACAGAAGATGCAGGATAGCACACAGTTATCTTTACATCTTCTGTGTCAGTCCACCTCATTCCAACTGTCCAGCGGACCCCAGGAACAAACCCTGTAGAGTGGCTTTGAATCGCAGTGACTCAATGGCACTTCACAACTTTTAGTCTGATGAGCAAATCATCTCAGAAGCTGGACTAACTGAAGAGGAGGGTGGCTCATGGAAGAATCAGGATTAGAAAGACTTCGCAATAAATAACCTGCATTGTGCAGATGACACACTCTTGCTTGAAGAAAAAGGAAGAGAAGTTAAAGTACCCTCTGATGAAACACAAATTCTACCACCTTTATTATGCATGAGCTCTGGTGGACTAGTAGGTAAGGAGTCATACTGCTAACCCAAAGGCAGGCAGTTTGAATCCACCAGCAGCTTTGCAAGAGAAAAACGGGCATTCTCCTTCCAGACCATTTTCAGCCTCTGAAAACCTGCTGGATGGTCAAATGCGCGTTGGAGCCAATTCAACAGCAACGGGTTAAAACCCATTCAGTATAGATTACACCTCAACATAAACAAGACAAAAATCCTTACCCCGGATTAATAAACCAGCATCATGAAAAATGGAGAAAAGATTGAAATTGTCAAATAGTTCATTTTACTCAAATTCACAATCAACATCCGTAGACGCAACAGTCGAGAAATGAATGTATTAGTAAGCTCTGGTGGCCTAGTGGCAAGAAGCTGCACTGCAATCCCAGAGGTGTGTGGTTTGAATCCACCAAATGCTCTGCTGGAGAAGGAGGGGCAATCACCTCCTGAATCATTCAGATCCGATTTGATGGTACACACACACACACACACACACACACACACACACACACACACACACAAGAATGCATTGTACTGGGCAAATCTGTTGCTAAAGACCCCTTCAAAGTGCCAAATAGCAAGAATAGCATGGTTCGAATCCACCAGATGCTCTGCTGGAGAAGGAGGAACAATCTCCTCCTGTACCAGTCAGATCTGATTTGACAGTACACACAAAAATAATGAAATAAAATAAAAAAAGGGAAAAAAACAAATAACAAGGATATCACCTTGAAGACTAAGGTGCATCACCTTTATACACATGTGACAAATGCAAGATGGAAGAAGCTTGACTGCCTTGGAATTGTAGCCTTGGCAAAGAGTATGGAATACACACCATGGACTGGCAAAAGAACAAATTTTTTCTTAGAAGAAAGGCAGCCCACATGCTCCTTAGATGCAAGCATGGGAAGACTTTATCTCAAGTATTTTGGACGTGCTAGTTCTCCGTCCTTGGAGAAGGCATGCTCAGTTAATGTGGAGTGTTCTCCAGAAGGACAGGTCTCCCTGAGATGTACTGATAGAGTGACCGCTACAATGGACGTCTGTCCATGAGAGACAAGTGTGAAGACAGCGTGGGACCGGGCAGCGCCTTCACAGCCTGGTTATGAGAGAGAGGAAATAGCACTAAAACCGGCAGTTGTTAGGTGCTATCGAGTCAACTGTGCAGCACAGCGATGCGGTGAACGGGCTCTGAACCCTGTCCTATCCACCTAAGGTACGCCCAAGCCACAGCTACAGGCATCAGGCCATTCATCTCGTTGAGAGTCTTCCTCTCTCTCTCTGACCCTCCACCTTTCCCAACATGCTGGACCCACCTGATAACATGCCCAAGGCATGTGAGACCAGGTTTTGCCATGCTGGCCTCTAAGGAGCACTCTGGTTGCATTTCTTCCAGGCAGAGTTACCTGGGACTCATAGTGATCCTCTAAACAACAGCTTTGAAGCCTGCCCAGAGCCAGTCTCAGTGACTCTGACACACCCACCCCCATTGCTCCAGTTACTGTATCGTCCATCTCATCTGGGGTCTTCCTCTCCTGCCCCCTCCCTCCACCCTTCTGAGCATGATGTCCTTCTCCATGGGCCAGTCCCTCCTGGCTACATGCCCAGAGTATGTGAGACAGAGCTTCAAAATCCTAGCCTCCAAGGAGAAACTTGGTTTCACCCTCTCCAAGACAGACCTATTTGTTTTCTTGGCCATCCATGGTATATTAAATACTCTTCTCCAGCACCACTACTCAAAGGCATTGATTCTTCTGTCATCCTTGGTCATTGTCCAGCTCTCTAATGCATAGCTAGTAATTGCGAAGACCATGACCTTGATTAGGCACACTTTAGTCTCTAGACTGACATCATTGCTCCTCAGTACTTTGGAGAAATCTCTGACAGCAGATTTTCCCAGTGCAATTCATCTTTCAATTTCCTCACTGCTGGTGCTAAGAGTGTTGATTGTGGAGTTGAGCAAGCTGTAGTCGTTAACAACCTCAGTCTCTTCTCCATCCATAATGGTGCTGCCAGTTGGTCTAGTGGTGAGAATCTTTGTCTTCTCGATGTTTGGGGAGCAAATGAAAAATCCACGGCTTGGATCAAATGCACCTTAGTCTTTAAACTGACATCCATACTCATCAGCACTTTGATAGACTTATTAGCAACTTACACCGCCAGAGGGGAAAGGTGAGAGGTTTGCTAAGACACATTTTTGCATTGCATTGTGTCAAGTTCCTCAAAACTTTACACACAGAAGCAGACTCAGCCGTGCCACTTCTACGTATACACACAAGAAAACTGGAAACAGAAAAAACAACAGACAGGCGAAAGCGAGCCAGTGGTCAGCCAGCATTCCTCGCAGCTGACAAAGGTGGAAACTTCCAGAATGTTCACCACGTGAATACTAAAATGCACCGTTTGCCGTCACAAGGTCCATTCCAACCCAGAGTGACCCTGCAAAACCACTGCTCCACAGGACGTCCAAGGCCGTAGACCGAAAGAAGGCAGGCTGTAAAATCTCCTCCTGCACCAGCTGGAGGGACCGAGCCTTGGGCCGGCAGTGGAAGGCTTCACAATCGATGCCTTGTCTTCAGTTGGGAGGGGAGATCTGTGTCTGTGTCCTAAGGTGGCATGCACCTCTAAGCAGGGGCTGCTGATTCAATAGGTGGGTGGTTCGAATACACCCAAAGGTACCACCGAAGAAAAGCCAGGTAATCTACTTCCCAGTGAAGCCGCACTTCTACCCGGGCATGCCCACCCACTGTGGTGGCGTGAGGATGAGAAGAGTGCCAAGTCCACCGCTGTCCGGGCAATTCTGATCCACAGCGACCCTGCAGGGCAGAGCCGCGCTGCCCCAGGGATCCCCAAGGCTGTGAATCTCCCAGTGGCTGGTGGATCTGAATGGCTCACCTTCTGGCCATTGGGTGCATTGACTGCTGTGCCCAGGACACCCCTCTCCTTCAAGGGATTGTTCTAGAAACAGACTGAGAGAGTCTGGGTGCCTTACCACGAGCAGGGCAAAGAGGATGACCCCACAGCTCCACATGTCCGCACGCCGCCCGTCGTACTTCTCCCCCTGGCGGGAAGGAAGGGGAGACGGTCAGGGCAGTGAGGTCTCCCCACTGTCCCCCACTGTCCCCCCCTTCTCTCCTCCCACCCTCACTTACCTTAATCACCTCTGGACACGCATAATGGGGGGACCTGAGGGCGAGAGGTGGCATGAGTCTCTGGGCAGCTTCCAAACCCCTCCCCAGGGTCTAGGGGCGCTGCCCCCCCACTCACCCGCAGCTGGTCTCCAGGAGGCTGTCCCCCACCTGCAGGGAGGCCATGCCGAAGTCGGCGATGCGGATGTTGTTCTTCTCATCCAGAAGCAGGTTCTCAGGCTTCAGATCTCTGTGGCTGAGACGGCGAAGGGGGTTCAGGGCTCTTCCCCCCACCACTGACCCCCCACTAGACCTGACCCTCACCTACCACTGTCTCTCACAACCTGACACTTTAGGAAATATTGAATGTTTTAGTATGACTTGAGTGGGAGTTTGCAGAGCCAAATGGTTTCACATCCAGCTACAGAAACACCGTTGGAGTCATGACACAGGAAGAGAGGCTGGAAAGCAGCAGCACTCTTCCCTCTTCATACCTGTGTTTCCCATCTCCACTCAACCTTCATCCTCATTCTTATTCCTTCCTGCCTTCTCAGCGTTAGCTCTGGACAAAGGAGGCCCTTCTGATCTTGTGTGTCTAGCTGGTCTGAGGAAGGTGTTCCTACCCAGTGTTACTGATGTTGCTGTTAACATGCTGTCAAGCTGGAAGACGTCTGTCTGACCCTCGAGCAGATTTTCAGAGTCTGTACATCCCGTGGAAGGAGAATGTTGCTCCTTCCCCCCGGAGCAGCTGGTGCATCCTAACTGCTTGCTTTGGGGTTGGCAAGTGTTTTTTAATATTTTTTTTCCATGTTGGCCAAACTGTATTTATCTATTTTTTTAATTAATTTTTTACAGAGATTTAAGGTTTACATTCATTCATTGTTGCACTTTTCTCCCT